CCTGATCCGGGCCGGGGACAGAGCCGAGAACGTGTTCCTTGCACGAGCGCGTGAAGTGCCCCTTGCACAAGCGTGTGCCGTGTCCCTTGCACAAGCGTGTAGCATGTCCGTTGCATGAGTGTGTGCCGCTTTCTCTGCGTGTGTGCCATGTCCCTTGCACATGCGCGTGCAGTGCCTCTTGCACAAGTGTGTGCAAGCACACTCGGGCGAGAGGATCTCCATGCCGGGCTGCTGAGCCGTGCATCTGGCTTTGCCCCCTTCACGCCGGGTGCGGATCCATCCTGGGATCCGGTTGCACACAGGCCGGCGGGGCCTGGCCCTTGGGGTTAATATTTGACCGTCGCAGGCAGCCTTTGCCCCCGCAAAGTGCGGGCTCGCGGGCAGGGGAGGTGGGCACAGCCTCGAGCCCCTGCGCTGGGGCTGTTGGCAGAGCTGCCGGCTGTGTTACCCATCCCGCAGCCTCCGAGCCGGAATCCCCCCTCCTCAACACTGCCTGGACGTGCCGGAAAGCAGGAAAAACTCGTTCTTGCCATTGGAGATTTGTCCTTGGGGCTTTGGTGACCACATCCCAGGAGTTGCTCTGCCCAAAGCCTCGGCCACACGGGGCTGGTGGCTTCCAAGCTCCATCCCCGCTGGGGACAGATCTGTGTGGCTCTGGGGCAGCATGGTCCCAATGATGATACCTGGGCATTTGCTTGTGTTCATCCAATGCTAAAAATACCTGGGAGGAAAACAACCCTATCGGGATCTGGGCCCAGCTATATTTAACGCCACCGACATTGCAAGCCCAAGGGCTGTGCAGAGCCCCCATCCCCTGTGAGTGCCTGGAGCTGCTCAGGCCCTTCCCAGTAGCCGGGTTTCCCTACGGAGTTTGTTTTATTTTATTTTCCCGTCTCAAAGCAGATAGGAAGAGAGGAGAGCAGCTGATGTGGCCAGCAAAAGGGCTTCCAGCCCTTATAGCTGCAGGATCCCATGGCTGGTGCCGAGGGGAAACTAAGGCACGTGCCCGTCTGGCAGTGGTCACATCTGTCCCCATCTGTCCATCCTGCCTGCTCTGCAAGTCACCCCATTGGGTGGCACGAGCCCACCTAGGATGTGCTCCCAGCTGGTGGCTTTCACTGGGGACAGGAGAGCCGGGGGACACGGCTCCCTCCTGCACAGCCACAAGGCTTCCCCTGAGCTCCTGAATGGCTTCTCGTGGCTTCTCGTTGCTCCAGGAAGGGGCCTTGGATCTGCTCAAGTCACTGACCGGCTACACGATGACCATCCAGCTGCTGCAGGTGAGAGACCGTGGGCTGATGGTGGCCCTGCAGTGGCCAGGGCCATCACTCCTGCGTGTCCTCCCTCATGTGCCTGGCCCCGGGCTGGGGTCTAAGGCCGCGGTGCCACTTCCCTCCTCCCTAATAATGATCCACACGTGTCTCCAGACCACGCGCATTGGGGTAGCCGTCAACTCGGTGCGGAAGCACTGCTCGGACGAGGAGGTGGTGGCCTCGGCCAAGATCCTCATCAAGAACTGGAAGCGGCTGCTGGGTGAGCGATGCCCAGGACACCTGCCCTGGGGTGTCCTGCTCCACCGGCCCCCAACTCACTTCTCTGTGGGGCTGTGGAGAGCGGAGAAGGGTGCAGGGTGGGATTGAGCTCCCAAGGTTGGTGCTGCCACCTCTCACCTCCTTCCTCTGGCTGGGATGCAGCTCCCGGAGTGCCTGGCACTGGTTTAATCCACGTCCCTTCTGCCCTCCAGAGTCCTCTGCGACGCCCAGGAAGGAGAAGGAGGTGGATGGGGAGAAGGAGAAGAAGGAGAAGGACAAAGGGCTGGATTTTCCCAGCTGGTCCAGTGAAGGGGCGAATTCGCACGTGGCAAAACATGGCAAGAGCCCAGCTGAGAAGCACAGGGAGAAGCACAAGGAGAGGTGGGGGCTGGCGCACACACAGGTGGTGCCCCGCTGGGGTGGCCTTGGGGACAGTGGGGACAGCGGTGCGGGGAGGGCTGTTTCCAAGGCGCTGCTCTGACATTGCTCTCTCCTCAGGAAGCCCAGCAAGCCTGGCTTGGACCTGGCCAGCCCCAAGGGCCAAAGCACCGACGCCAAGGCGGAAAGGTACTGGCCCAGTGACGGAGGAGGAGCAGGGGTGGCTTTGGGACATGGGCAGGGTCCAGCCCACCCTGCCGCTCCCTGGGGTGTCAGCAAAGGGACGTGGGCGCTTTTGGAGCCTGAGGATGTGGCTCGTCCCGCTCACTGCATCCCTCCTTATCCTCGTGCTCCTGCAGCAGGACCCCACCAGCTGCCTCCAAAACGTCCCCTCCGCCCGGCAAGAAGGAGAGGTGGGTGCTGGGGGTGACTTCCCGGGGGCTGCCGGGTCCCCCGGTGCCACACACGGGGTCTGGACCCACCGGGGAGCTCATCTGATGTGTGATTCTGCTCTCCGGGTCCTTCCAGGAGAGACTCTGCAGACGTGAGGGGCTCCGCTGCCGTCTCCTCCTCTTCCTCACCGCAGAAGAGGCCATCAGGGGAGAGGTGAGAAAGGGGGGCAAAGCGAAATATCTAGCAAAGGCCTCTGCCCGGCAGCTGATGGATGGAGAAGGCCAGACTGCATTGCAGAGGGTGCAAGTGGTACCCATGTGGTGGTGGCACCACTGCTGGGAGGCTCTGGTCCTTAGTTTGGGGGTGCTGCCACCATGGGCCACCTGTATGGAGCAGCTGGAGGAGGCTGCAAGCCCTGATCCCACTCTGGGCACTGGGAAAGCCCCATGCGGAGCAAATCCTCCTGCCTGGGGGCTCTGCGTTGCACTTGTGCCTGCCTGCTCGTGCACGAGCATCCTGGTCCCCATGCTGCCGTGTGTCACCTCCCGTGCCATTGTCCTTGTTGTGTGTCCCAGGAGAGCCTCCACGGGCTCCAGCCCCTCGCCAGCTCCCGCCGGCGCCCGGAGAAACTCCAGCGATGCCAAGGAGGAGAGGTAGGAACGGGCCTAAGGATGCACCCGTGGATGGGGGTCGCTCCCGCGTCCCCGTAAGCACCGTGGCCTCCCCCCTGCAGAGCCAACAGCAGCAAGGGCAGAGCGGAGCCGCTGCGGAGCTCGGCCAGCCCCTCGTCACCCAGCGCCTGCCTCCTGTCCCGCTGCTACCTCACGGGGGACTCGGTGCGGGACAAGTGCATCGAGATGCTCACGGCCGCGCTGCGCATGGACGGTGAGCGGGCGCCGCGCGCGGGAGGCGCCGCTGGTGCCACCCCCTGCCCGGGCACGGGGCATCCTGACACCTCTCTTTGCCCTGTAGATGACTACAAGGAGTTTGGTGTCAACTGCGAGAAGATGGCGTCCGAGATTGAAGAGCATATCCTCTGGGACACGCGGGGGGCGCCGGGGGGGGTACAGGGACGTCCCCGCCGCCCCCCAGCTGGAGGGGTGGCAGGGCCAGGGGCAGCAGGCGATGGGCTCTGCTCAGACCCGACGGTGCTCGTTGCCTGCGGAGGGAGGTTGGATCCTGGAGAACCGGCGCCAATGGGCAGCCCAGCACATCCCCAGCCTGCTCGGTGGGAGCTGCTCATGTGTTTTGCAAGCCCCAACGCTCGCGGGAAGCAGCCTGAGCCCCCTGCTCCCAAAGCTCACATCGTGGTGACGGTCCCCATTGTCCCACAGCCTGGATTTACAGGGGGACATGAAAGAGCATCCAAAATCATAGAATCGTGTTTTGCAAGCCCCAACGCTCGCGGGAAGCAGCCTGAGCCCCCTGCTCCCAAAGCTCACATCGTGGTGACGGTCCCCATTGTCCCACAGCCTGGATTTACAGGGGGACATGAAAGAGCATCCAAAATCATAGAATCACAGAATCATAGAATGCTGAAGGTTGGAAGGGACCTCTAGAGA